TGTTGCAAAAACTCCAATGGCCCACTCTCGCCAACAGAAGAAGAGAGGCATGTCTGACTACAATGTTCAAAATAACTCACGGTCACATGCGCATACCCTTTGAACAATATCTTATTCCTGCACAGTGGCGCACCAGAGGTAGCCACGCCTTTAAATACAATATTATTCCTGCAACGAAAGACTGTTTCAAATTCTCATTTTTCCCACGCTCGATACGAGAGTGGAACAGTTTACCCGCCCAGGCCATACAGGCACAATCTGTGGAGGCCTTTCAAGCCTCCCTACCGTGAGGTCCACGCACCTCCCCCCCCCTCAGCGATACCCCTCACGGGGTTGTTAGAGGAAAATAATAATAAGAAGAAGACAGCACGCAGAAGCACGTACGGCGGGTTGTGACCAAGGCTTTACCTGTGGAAAGGCATTTATCAGTCATTCATCAACTAAGTAGCACATGTCATGTAAGAATTGTATGCAGGGTAGTACTGTACATTATTTTACATGTATATGGTTCAGCGTAGTGTAGCAGCTCTTTAGGACTTTAAGTCTGATGTAATTTTCATGTATCCTGTGTACCTATCAGCCGAAGCCTCTGGATCTGCCACAGCTGGTAGTAACCTGGCCAAGTATTGGATGTCTGCTAACATCTCCAGCCTGAGTGAGCTGGGAGCCACAGACACACTTCTGCAGATGTGCTGCCGGCTGCCTCAGCTCCAGCGGTTCATGGATCATCACAGTCAGCTGCTGGCAGGACAGTTACAACTTCTCCCCACCAGTGGTCGGGACGCTGCAGCCCTCAGACAGAGGTGCGTGGGTCCAGATTTTTTATGTTTACCGAAGGAAAACATAATAATAATTGTTTTTGCTCCATTAATTCTTCTGTTCCAAACACTAACCTCTGACCTGGCCAATGGCCTCTTTTGTTGACGTCCGTCACCATAGTAACTAGTGTTGCAGGGGTCGAAATAGATTTTGGGGCCAACTTGCACTGGTGCAAATGAAAAGAAAAATACTTGCACCGGAAGAAAAATAGTTGCACCCTCCAAAAATACAGAAGTGATGGGAAACATCCGCTGGCAGCGACGTAGATAGTAACCTTCTGTTACTTACAAAAAATGAAGAAAAACTTCATGGATTCTGGTTTTGTTCCTTTCCACTCCAGTTCTTTATTAATTAATATTATTGGGTAATTCTACAGGTAGTAACAGTGGATAAAGCAAACTTGCACCATGGTGCAAGCAGGCAAAAAATTAGTTGCACGACACCAAATTTACTTGCACCAAGTTGCACACAGAGGGTTATTTCGACCCCTGTGTTGGGTTACATGATGTTGCAATTTCATAGCAGGCATTTAGACTCTTGTCACCATATACATGTATGTGAATGTGTTTGAGTAAGAATTAACAGGGCAGACCATATCCGCAGGTAAACATTATGCATTTGCTTTGCAAATTTTGCTTTTCTAGTCGAAGAATATTTCTTCCCATATTTTTTTATTAATATTCCAACATGTGATCACAAGACGTGGTGACGGCACACTCAAGTTTTTTCAACATATATTAATGCCGCCACCAACAGGGGACAATACAATACTCATTTTTACCTGAACGAAGTGAGGAAAGTCGTGTAAACTGTCTTTCCCAAGGGCACAAGATTGGTGGCACGTTAGGACTCGAACCCAGGACCTTCCTATATTTGAATGAAAGCTCATCTGCGTTGATAGAATCCATAGTTACAAAGTCTAAGTCTTTTTGTGGTGGCTTAAAGTTAAACTTCGTAACAATATTTCTTCCCATTTGGGCATGGATTCTATGGTCCCCCATGTAAATTTTAATTGGTAACACATTGATCAATCTCGCTAGTATGACAGTGCAAAGGATATGTTGTTGCTGGTAGACTATGTTATATCTCATGTCCCGTGGGCGTTAAAATACAATTTTTGTGTGACTTTGTCTCTGTTTACACTGTGAACCAAAGCCAGCTGATCGGAAAAGAATACTAATTCTATATTAATATTAATTCTAATTACTATAAATTCTAATTGCAGAAGAAATGTTACGCCATAGTGCTGTGTACCTAAACCCACATTTAGGATCAGGTCTGGATTCAAGTCCAGAGGTTTAGGTTCAGTTCTGGACTCGTAAGTCTGGACCTAAACCCATGGCATATACAAAATTGCATGTTGGCAACATTGCGATGCTGTTTGGGCAAAAGTTTTGCCACATAACATGGTCGCCGACACTTGACAATGCCCAATGGCAATGTCTTCTTCATTTTGTAGCACAGATTTTTTGGAATCTATGGAAGGTTTTAGGTAGTTTGGGAAGAAAAAAAAGGAGTATATGTGACATGGGTTTTTTGTAGTAAGTCCGGAATCAGTTCTTGACTTTTAGGTTTTTTTGAACTTGAACCTAAAAATTTTATATTAAAGTCCGGAAACGGTCCAGCGAACAGGTACCCAGCACCAGTACTGTATGTGAATATGTCTCATTACAAACCACTAAATCATTCCTGTAATGTAATCTTGTAATCTTGTTGATGTATTTTGTTTCCAGCCTGAAAGTTTTGACAGATGAGATCGGCGTTGTGTGGCACCTGATGTCATTACCCATACTGGAGCCGCTGACACCTGACCGGGTGGACACACTCACCAAGATCAGCTGTGCCTGTCTGCATGTGGGTCTGGCCGTGACTGCAGCACATACTGTCACATGCTCAGCTGCAAGTACACCTGCTAAAGGTAGCACCTCACATCACCTGGAGGAGGATCATCTCCACTACACAGCCTCTATTGTACAGATGAGTGTAAGTAGCCTAAACCATAACCCTCTATTGTACAGATGAGTGTAAGTAGCCTAAACCATAACCCTCTATTGTACAGATGAGTGTAAGTAGCCTAAACCCTAACCCTCTATTGTACAGATGAGTGTAAGTAGCCTACATCATAACTCTCTGTGGTACAGATGAAGTAGCCTAAATTCAATTGTACAGATGGGTGTAAGTACATGTAGCCTAAACCCTTTAGCCTCTATGGTACAGATGAGTGTAAGTATCTTAAACCCTAACCCTCTCAGTGTTCGAAATACCTGTCTGCAGTCTGCAATCTGCAGATAGATTTTCAAGATTGCAGAAGGAAAATTCATACAATCTGCAATTTTGCAGAAGGAAAAAATAGACTCCAGATTCAATAGTTTTCAATTTAGCAAACTAGAACTCTCTGGCCCCAAGGACAGACAACACTTGAGCTCCTGTTCTGAAACAACAGGAGCTTCTTCACTTATTTGCATCCTTGTCTTGACTTGTCTATCTTTTTCCTTTTTGACTTCCAAAAATTTGTCTTCACTAATTTGCATATCAATCACTAGTTTTTGCTTATAAACCTGCAGTTCCCTTAGTGTCACTGATGAGAAAGGTAATAGTCTGACCGTTTTTGGTAGTACCAAAATTATATACAGCTGAGTAACTGTTTTTTTGTGTCTTTTATTAGTGTGTTTTAGTATGTTTTTGCAGAAAGTATTTCCAAATTGCAGAACAAAATTTTGACTCTTCTGCAATATTGCAGAGCACTGAAAAAAAGTATTTCGACCACTGCCTCTATTGTACAGATGAGTTTAAGTAGCCTAAACCCTAACCCTCTATTGTACAGATGAGTGTATGTATCTTAAACCCTAACCCTCTATTGTACAGATGAGTGTAAGTATCTTAAACCCTAACCCTCTATTGTACAGACGAGTGTAAGTAGCCTAAACCCTAAACCCTTATTGTACAGATGAGTGTAAGTAGCCTAAACCCTAAACCCCCATTGTACAGATGAGTGTAAGTAGCCTAAACCATAATCCTCTATTGTACAGATGAGTGTAAGTAGCCTAAACCATAATCCTCTATTGTACAGATGAGTGTAAGTAGCCTAAACCATAACCCTCTACTGTACAGATGAGTTTAAGTAGCCTAAACCATAATCCTCTATGGTACAGATGAGTGTAAGTAGCCTAAACCATAACCCTCTATTGTACAGAATGATGAGTGTAAGTAGCTTAAACCCTAAACCCTTATTGAACAGATGAGTGTAAGTAGCCTAAACCCTAACCCTTTAAAGGACACAAACAGTAATTTCAGTTTCGCTGCCTTTCAACTCAAAATCCTATTTGCAAAAGGTGATCCATTGGTTTAGTCCCGCAAATAAGGGGTGATATTGACCAAAATCCATGTTCACGTTTGATATTTGTCTTTAATGTAATAGGCTTTATTGTACGGATGGGTGTAAGTAGTCTAAAACCTAACCCTCTGTTGTACAGATGAGTGGAAGTAACCTAAACCCTAAACTTGAGTGTATGTACAAATGTAGGCTACATTAAGCATAGGCAGTAGACAGGCAGTCTACATTTTGTTACTGTATCCCGAAAAATGAACTCTCTATTCCCAAAAATGAAGTCCTGCATTGTGACCCAAAGCTCATTTTTAAAAAGCCTGAGGACAAAACCTGTCTAAAGCAAAGGTCTTATGGTGATGATTTGTATCAATGTATCCACAGTTCTAACATTATGTTTTGTATTTGCCTTTCCAGTTAGATGTATTTGACTCCCTGTCAGCTTTACTTCAAAACTCAGTGAGGGCCAATGGAATGGTAAGTGTGTCAAAAATTGTAGTCTTGTGGGTTTCATCTTAGAAGTAAAATGTTGGAAGCTTAGTCAGTATAGGTTTTGTAATTGTTTGTTTATATAAATTCTTATATAATATACATGTACTTATATGGTTACGAAAAAGATGTGCATTTGCAGCTTTGGAATATAGATCATTTATTGGGAGGTCGTAATTTAGTATAATTCTTTGATGGTCGCGACTTTCTAGGAACTTTGATACAAGTGTTTATGTTTATGTACATGTTTATGAAGATTTACCACATCTGTGGAAGGATTGACATAACAGGTGACTATCACCTCTTCAAAGATGTCAAACCTGAGACCAGACTGTAAGGTTTGAACCACTCACACCGGGAAGGTCCCCTACTCTTTTCGATAAGTGTGGTGGGTTCTTTAACGTGTGTGGGGTGTGGCTCTCCCCAAACACGGGACCTCCATTTAAAGCCCTATCCGAGGGACGTCCCTAACCGAGGCTAGGTACTCATTTCCACCTGAGTGAAGTGAGGAAAGTCGTGTAAAGTGCCTTTCCCAAGGCACAAGATTGGTGACAATCTTCTGATGTCAATTTTCAAAAACAGAAGATGAGTGGTTGATCTGTGTTTGCAGATGGTGCAGAATATCCGATTACTGGAGGCCTGGTGCATTCTGGGTGCTTTACATACCGTGATGGGGCTGTCGTCAGCAGTGGCGGTGGAGAAGGCCAAGGACCCTGTGGCAGGCAGGAAGTCTGATGGCCCTGCAAAAACAACAACCACACGCCCACTCTCCGGCAAAGGGTGAGTCAGTGTACAAAATACTTTTTTGAACCAGTGGGCAACCTACGGCAAAAATTAGGTTGCCCATCAGAATTTTAGGTTGCCCCACCTATAAGTTACTACTTTCAAATACATAAGCCTTCGACAATATTTCTAACAGCCTTTAGTTAACTGATACTAGTAATAGCCATTAATACCTAAAATTAAAAAGCATCTGCCAGATACAGTGGTGCAAGCCAAGTGGGCATGATTTTTTTGGGGGAGCATTCTTAAAATTCAGGTAGCACACTGGGCTACCTAGGTTCAAAAAAAGGTTGCCCCAAGTAAAATTTGGTTGCCCGGGGCAACTGGGCAACCAGGTATTTTGCACGCTGTGAGTGCTGATACTTTTAAGTACAAAACTAGGGCTCAAAGTTTATGTTTGATTGAAATAGGTGCACTGGTGCACCCAACCTAAAAAAGTTGGGTGCACAAAAATTTGTTGGGTGCACCATATAGAATAAAATAAGACTTAGTGAACTGTTAGTGAACTCACACCTGAAGGAATGTACTACCGTTACAACAATGATTTTATTATTTTTCTGACACTTAGATGTTAAAAATATGCTGTATAGTACAACTATACATTTAACATATTTACATACTTAAAGAAAGTAAACCTACGAAAATAGTTAGGTACACCCAAAAAAAATTGGGTGTACAGCTCCAAATTTGGGTGCAGAAAGGTGCTGCAGCACATGCATCCAATATTTCGAGAAAATTTGGTATCCTCAAATATCAATAATTATTCAGAATTGAATTTTTGTGTGCATGACTTACACGTAAATCATTGTACAAGTCATGTATCATAATTATGTAAGATTGTAGCTTATAAAGATATTGTTGTTCCCACCCACACAGATACCAGGTTGGAATGGACGGGCTGATTGTAGCCCTGGCTTCTCATGGGTTATCTCAGCTCAAGAGTCTGTTTGATGACTTCCATCTGGAGTACCGGAGTCAGGTGAGCAGCCAAGACTTGACTGTGCCTCCGTCTGGAAAAAATGTCTCCTTCAGGATCATTTTTCGTAATTAGCTACATGAAATTGATTTGATCTGGCCCTACCCGACATGACCCTACCTCACGTGACGGCCTCTTATGTTTTCAGTTTGGCTACCACAGCCACGTTTTTTGTATGCCCTCCAAAAATAATCCTTTTCCCTTTCTCCGGCCAATCCTGCTTTGTTGAGTTGTTTTCGAGTGAAAGATAATTATCAAATGGTTGAGTTTAACTTGTCAATAGTAACTGCTTCTGTTGTCTGTTGAAAGAAAGTAGAGGAAGAAATTCCTGCTCTTGGACGTTATACATATATTATATATATAATTTATTGCACTAAATGAGGCAATCAAAGTTTGTTTATTCATACATGGGTTTGTTTTGTTCTTTGTTCTGTAAGTAATTTCTGTACGTTTTGCCATCTTGTTTTGTTTCTTATATTATTTGTATGTTTTCAATGTGTTCTGTGTCCAGGGCCCCACTGCAAAGCAGTGTTTAATCACTGAGTGGGCTACTCTTTTCTAAAGAAAAGAAAAATGAACAAAAAAATCCCAAACAATCATGACTGTTGTTAATCTACCATGACTTTAATCCATTTTACAGAAGACGTCGCCCCAGTTGAGTCAGTACCAGAAGGTTGACATCAGTACCAGGTACACGGCCTGGGAGAGGATCCAGCTGCTGACTGATCATGTCCCCTTGGTCTCCCTCCTCTTTCATATCTTCACATCGGCTTACAAAAAGGTATTTAACCAACAAATTGAAATGTTGTCTGGATGTACAGAGCTCAAATTAAGAAGCACCTAACCATGAAAATTAGGTGCACAGAAACAAATGCTTTATAAAAAAAGCTGGTATTGTGCTTATCCGAGAGTGTCCTGGGTACAGCTATAACCCAGTGTACAAAATACTTTTTTGAACCATGTTGCCCAGTGGGCAACCTACGGCAAACATTAGGTTGCCCATCAGAATTTTAGGTTGCCCCACCTATAAGTTACTACTTTCCTCAATTGACAAATTACATATTTTTATTTAAGCCTTTGACAATATTTCTAACAGCCATTAGTTAACTGATACTAGTAATAGCCATTTTAATTAAAATACCAAAATTAAAAAGCATCTGCCGGATACAGTGGTGCAAGCCAAGTGGGTATGATTTTTTTTGGGGGGGGGGCATTCTTAAAATTCAGGTAGCACACTGGGATACCTAGGTTCAAAATAGGTTGCCCCAAGTAAAATTTGGTTGCCCGGGGCAACTGGCCAACTAGGTATTTTGCACGCTGTAACCATAACCCAGCATATTCCCTGCTGTACATACAACATGCACTACATGTACATGTAGATGCATCTCTGTTCTATAAATGACGAACTTCTTTGATACTGTAACAATTCAGCCCTTAAAGTCATCAGAGTGAGTTCTTATTTCTACATCAAGATATCAAGTCAAGAATAATACACTGTAGATCATGATACTGCAAAATTTAAGATGAAAGCACCAGCCTTCCCTCCCCCCTTCAACATCTTATGAAGTAACATCTGGGACCTGACCAGTAATTATCATTGTCCATGTACATTGTAGGCCTGCATCCTTCAGCGGCAGAGGAAAGGATCGCTGAGTTCAGAGCCGGTGGGCAGCTCAGATTCCAACACCTTCTATGAAGATGATTTCAGCAGCTCAGAGCAGAGCAGTGAAGGTAAATGAGCATGGTTGTACACTTTTTTATTAGCGACTTTAGCACTGTATCTTGTTTCAAGTCTGCATAGTTGCATAAGTGCATGATTGGAGTTACATAATTCACCATCACGTGGACAGACGAAAAGTCTTGAATGCACAAAATTATATAGATTACAAACAAGACTGGCAATGAAAACATACTTTGCCATGGCGACGGTGGTTGCTGTTAGGGTTATTGTTTGCATGGCACTGCCATCATTTCATGATTTTGAGGAAGACTTGAGGAAGACTTGGTACCTAAGTCTAGACAGATACAGTGCACTCCTCCCCTGAGTGTATAGTGAACGAGCCCTGGGGTCACAGAAAGTAGGGCTATGGGGCAGAGGTGTCTTCCCAAGGGTTTCCAGGAATGTGGGCATAGATGTGGGTCAGAGACATGCCTGTGGACATTCCATTCCTGTGGACAAAATGCCTGTACCATTCCTAGAATTCTTGCAAACTGCACACAATATTGTACCATTAGGCTCCTCCCTGAGACGTCGACAAAAAGTACTGTCAGGAAAGTTTCCCCCATAATTCTAGATGTCTGACGTGACTTGTAATGTTTCAGAAGATGAGGAAGATGATGATGACAGTGAGCTGATCCTTGGTCATTGGTTTGAAGAGACCATCTCCCCACAACAAGAGGATGACACGACACAAGATACAAACGTCCCTTCTCCTGTCCCAGACGGCACTCCCAGGAGACAGGACCTGAAGGGTGTGGCCAGTTTGGACGCTGTCAAACTAGCAACAGACAGGAGTGATCCTGAAACTGTGAGTACAGTCAGCTAACAACGTGGTTTTTATGAAATAAAGACTAAGCTTTTAACTTCCAACACTTAGATTACAGAATTGGAACTTACCCCAAATTTTCGGTTGACTCCATCAACCTTGTTCACGGAATGGACCCGTCTACTCTTGGAACGTGACGTCAGAGACACGGTCGCGGGTCATACGTGCCAGATAGCGTGTGTCGTCCCCCGTCTCTGTTCAGGGTAGGTCTATGAGCTCTTATGTAGACCGCCTCTTTCACTCCTGTTGCAAAGAAGTCCGATTCAGAATCAAGGATTTTAAACCCTTCCAGAGATACTGAATGTCCCGGAGATTCAATCAAAACTAGAAAGGCCGACATTTGCTCAAGAGCAAATACAGCACATTTCACCCATTCTTCCTCTCCATTCCAAATTTCCCCTAGAATAGTAGAAAGGCCATTTGCTCGGGAGTAAATGCAGCATGGCTTCACCACATCCCCCGTACCAAAAATGGACCGACCCCCCCCGAACAAATGGATTGTTCTAAATCACCCCTGTTTAAAATGTGAACTGTTCCCACAGTTTACACCCCCATGCAGCAATGGAATCTTCCAACCCCTTCTACTGTTGGAACATGTAGAACCCGAGTGTTCTATTTAGAACTGTCAGTTGGGGATTTGGGTTTTCAAGCTACAATCGCTGTTTTTACTCAAAATAAGGCAAATAAAAGTATTTCAAATAGTGAACACTATAGTCTAAGCATTTGGTGCCAAGCTACCTTTATGTTGAATTTCGGGTCATTCGGTTTTCGTATTAGCGCACAGAAGCTAAAATGTACTTTTTTGGTCAAAAATAGCAAAAAAGTCCCATTTTACATAATTTTAAAGTGACACATGCCATAAGCGTGAATTAAGTTCTGTGGGCTTGTATCCAAGGATATCCTATACCGAGTTTCAGGTCATTTGGTTTTAATATTAAGGCACAGGAGCTGAAATTGTACATTTTGGTCCGAAAATAGCCAAAAAGCCCTATTTTACACAATTTTGAAGTGGTGTACGTCAAAAGTGTGAATAACATTCTTTGGACATGTGTCCAAGGTATCCCCATACGAAATGTCTGGTCATTCGGATTTGAAATTAGGGCACAGGAGCCAAAAATGTACATTTTTGACCGAAAATAGCAAAAAATCCCTATTTTACACAATTTTAAAGTGGCGTATGTTAAGAGCTTGAACGATATTCTGCAGTCATGTGTCCAAGGTATCCCCATACCAAATTTCAGGTCATTTAGTTCTAGCACGAGGGCTCCAGCTTCCAAAACGTA